ATCTACTTGCACGCTACCAAATATCTCATATAAACAATCTCCCTAGACTAAGGCATCACAAAACAGGCAATTCTAGTCCTATCATGTATACCTAGTCTTCTAGCATGCATAACAATTCATAATCAGTGCATAACATAACATTGTAAGGTATTCTGGGGATCTTTACCGTTCGGGCGCTGGCTGATCGTACACACTGCTCCATTCTTGTTTTACCGCCTTACCATTTATGAAATGTTGTGTCCTTATTATTTTAAAAAGGTTTTTCCTCAAATCCCCGGTCTGAGTTCAGTTGCACCCGAAAGTACACCCGAATCCCTCAAACCAAGGCTCTGATACCAATTGTAACAGCTCAAATTTTCAAATAAAATTTTCATTTAAATTAAAACATCATTATTCGACAAAAGAATTTATTCCAAGTTTATTGCAAAAATATAAATAACGAATCCCAAGATCTTCAACAATGGCAGTGTGTACGTGTCACGCCGGCGCCTTCCCACGGTCATCACTAGTACCTGAAAAACATAAACACAACTAGTAAGCATAAATGCTTAGTGAGTTCCCCAGTATACGACTTACCCACATACGCCTTCCGGCCCGGACCTTTCGGTCCACATAACATTGCCTTCCGGCCCGTAACATAATCGCCTTCCGGCCCATAACATATCGCCTTCCGGCCCGTATTATATTGCCTTCCGGCCCATAGTATTTTGCCTTCCGGCCCATAATAGTATAAAACATAACACATATAACATATCACACATAACACATAAGTCATACATCATACCGTTCTTTCTATCACATAAAGTCTCGCCTTCCGGCCCGTATAAGCATACATCACATATAAAGCATCTACCTCTCTAGACATAGCATAAATATAACACATACGACCTTCCGGTCACGCAGTCAAACCCTTCCGGGTGAAGTATAGTGAGAAGACTCACCTCGTAGTATGCAAGCTATAAACCCTTCGAGCCACTCGCACTCGATCCGCTAATCTGCAGGCTCCCTATAATACCACATACCTTTATTAATGATCTTATCAAACAAGACAACTGACCCTACTAAATTACATACAGGTCAACGGTCAACTTGACCGGACTCGTCGAGTGCAAAGGCAACTCGGCGAGTCTAGACACCCCGACTCCACTCGCCGAGTCTAAGAACGACTCGACGAGTCCCAGTAAGTCTTCAAGCTACTCGCCGAGTCTGAAGAACAACTCGGCGAGTCCTAGTGAATCTTCAAGCTACTCGCCGAGTCTGATCATTGGACTCGGCGAGTCCTTGCCATGCAGTCAATCAACTGCCTCCTGTAATTCGCATGATTCGTAATATATAGATATGGGGCTTCCTGGACCTTCACATATACTATTACAGGGGTTTAAACACTTGTAACAACACTATAATCTATCAAATCCTTAAATGGGTTTCCTAAACCCTAGATTCATATACAACGCCAAAACTACAGAAATGATCCGAGGATTACCTGGAAAACGTGTTCCCTGTGTCCCCAACCTTCAGAGCTCGACCCCTTGATTCTCCTTTGATCACCACCTTGCCTCTCCTTGCCTAACCACCTCTTCAAGCTTCCACTAGCCTTTACCCTTGTTCCAGATGCCCACAGACTTTTTGGTTATCTTCAATCGGCCAAAAGACGAGACATGACGGCCCTAAAGGCATTATATACGATCCAGAATCAAAACGGCTAGGGTTTCAGCTGAACAGCGTCGACTCGCCGAGTCCCTAATGGACTCGTCGAGTCCAGTCGCGAATCTGTGACTAAGATTGTGGTCCTACTCGGCGAGTCAGGCATCAACTCGCCGAGTTCCCCCCTTAAATATTCCCCAATTTAATTTAAAGTAATACCTGAAATTCCGGGCTGTTACAGAATTGTTCCTCTACAACAAAAGGGAGAAGAGAAGCCAAAACCTATTTCAATTAAACCGAAGGTCAAAACCGAACCGAAGGATAATTTAGCTTTGGGTTTTGGTATCAAAGAAAAGAAAAGCATGTTATTTGAGAAGATGATGAAGATGTCGAAGATCAAGAAACTATTTCTGAGATCCTGAAGTGAAAGAAAAGGGATGAGGAGATAGATAAAAATCTTCGAATTGCTAAGGAAGCTGAGTAAAGAGAAAAGAAGAAGAAAAAAGAGGATGATGCATTAAGTTGCAAGAAGATGTTGTTCCCTCCTTGGACTAGGGAGACACTGATCAAAGAAGCCATAGTCTCCAAGCACACTCAGGCTGGAACCTGTGACTTCGTTTGATTGTGATAATACAAGGGATTCACAGTTTGATATGCCTATAACACGAAAGGCATTCGTTTTCACTGCTTTGATTCAACTATTGAAGTTCCTTCACCTCATCCTCAGGTCGACCGTGAACTGATTGATTTTTACCTCAAGTTCGGTCAACCTCAGTATCTGACCTGGAGTGCTCAGAAGATTACTACGGTCAAGGTGCTGAAGCCATCGCTTGCAGGGAAGTTTATCAATGTCTCTTTCAACATAAACCGAGGTTCGGATAACTCGGTTTCTGCCATTTCCCTAGCAGACCTTCCTAACCTGAATCCTCATGATTAGATCCTGCTCTTCAACATTTTTCTTACTAATGCAAAGGAGTATGGACCAATTTTGAAACATCTAAAACGAATGATAGCCTGTTATATCCACAAAGTTGCAAAGATAGATCAGGAAGTGGCTAATGTCTTGAGAAAGAAACCGAAGGTGAAGCCAAATGCAAAGCCAGGAGATGTCAACAAAATGACTCTCGGTTAAATAGATTCTGCTTACCTCACGGTCATGTTTACAAGGGCCAGAAGGGAAAGGTTCTTGTTTGCTCTGGTGGACAAACATTTGTTCACTACTGACTGCCTAGAACACATCATCAATATCATTCATCATTGCAAGGCGAATTCTGAGTAAGATAAGAAGAACTTCATAGACATGCTCCGGTGGTATGTTACTTTTAGACAAACTCTTTTGGCCATTATACCGGGTGTGTTCAAGACTGTGAAGAAGTCAGTGATAGCTCAACCGAACTGAGCTCTCGGCTCCATTGACACAAAGGGGGAGATTGTTGGGTATTATGTGTTGCGTCATGAGCCAGTCTTTTGTGTATCCAGTTTTGGCCTATCCAACCGTGATTATGGTTATGTAGTATTATATATAGTGCATGGATGTATGCCATAAATATACGCTAGTCAATTTGATTATCTTTTGAATTGTAACCCTAAGCACCTCAACAGTCGAAGTTCTTCATCGAGCTCTTCGGGGGTGTTAAAGTTTAATCATTCAACATCGTTTAAACCATTCTTGTGTTCTTTATTTTTCATTTATTGCTTTTCTGCTTGAATCTATCGATCATTAAGGAATATTATTCCAACATATTTTTAATATGATACTTTTTTAGGCAAACCTACAACGATTGGATTTTTGAGAAACTGTAACATGAGCACCATGCAATTTTCTTTCATCATTTCAAGATGGTTAAATGCAAGAAATAACAACATATTTTTATTTATTTGTTTATGACACTATCTTGCTTTCATTTCTTCATTTTAAAACATTGTACTTTGTATATATACTTTTTCTATCCATTTATATTCAAAAAGGTTGAGTTCTTTGAGATTATCACTTGAACTTTCCTCTTTACAAAATTTGAAATTTCTAGGGTTTTTTTTTTATTTATTTTTTATTTTTTTTTATGAGTCGGTGTGGGTGCACTTACAGTGAAGACAAGCTTGAAGCACCATCTGGATCTGCAGTTCATAATGACACATTTAAATCTTCTTGTTATGCAACGAAAGATGGATAAACCTGAATACATTTTGTCTAAAACATTAGTATAAAAAAGAACTAGGAGAATGATAAGGTTATAAGGTTCTTAACTTTTAGGATTTTTACTAAGTTGTAGTATCAAAAAGAACTAGGAGAAGTATAAGGTTTTTAACTTTTAGGGTTTTTACTAAGTTTTTATTTGTATCGATAGGTAAATGCAATAGTTTTTTGTTTGGAAGTTTAATCATTATAAATTTATTTATTGGATTCTTATTATTATAGATGTATTGTTTTTTTTTTTCTTTTTCCATTTTGGGCAGAAAAAGATATGAGTTTTTATTAATTATCTAATTTTTTTTCAAAACAATAAAATCATTTTAGTGACCGATTATTGACAAAAATATCTGTCACTAAAGCCGGTCGGTAATCTGTCAAAAAATTTCGTCCGTCGGTAATCAATCACATTATATGTCAGTCGGTAGTCTAATCTGGTACAATTTGGTCGTTAACTTGGTCAAACAAGTTCAACAAAGGGACGTCGTTCGCTATATGTTGGTAGTTCGTCACAAATTCCGTCGTAATATTTACCCGCAAGGCTTTTTACGACGTAACTAATTCCTTCGGTATTCTGTCAGAAATCGGCTTTAGCGACGGGTTTTGGATAGATATGACCATCAGAAATTGTCCAGTTTTGTAGTAGTACTAGCAATAGGTTTTCCACGACAAAAAGAAAAAAAAAATGATTTTCTATTTTGATGAAAAAGTATGTTTTATATATTAATTATTGTTTTAGCGATGGTGAATTTTACCTACAAACATGCTCTAGCTATCCCATCACCTGTCTCTTGTAGTTAGCCCGGCCGAAACTATCCCATCACCTCACTACAAACTGGTAATCGCTTTCATGTCGTGTGTGATTAGTTTAACAAAGTTAGCACTTAAGAGGTACATGGTAGGCTTAAGATAACAGGTTGAGATTGACCAATTCTTAATTAGTACTAAAAATTAAAGATAGTCAGGTGTTGGGAAGCCGGCTGACCAATTCCTTTTCCGGACTACTCCGTATAGTACATGATAGATAAACGTCATTCTCCAGTGCCTATTATTCATTTACAATGTGTAAGGCGGCAAATCCTTCAAAGATAAATTTTGCTAAAATAAATGCAAAACGATATATAGAAGAATCATGCAGATTAGGTCTATATATATGGAGTCACTAAGCAGCTGTTTGTCTCACCACAAAAAAAAAAAAACATATATCTTCTATCCCTAAAAGAGATTTAGCTTTTGATTTCATAACTTTCTGTAGTTCCCGCTGAGAATATTAAAAGAAATGTCGAGCAAACTCGTTTTGTTGAGTGTATTAGCTCTAACTTTTAGCTACCTTGCGTTAGCCTATGAGCCTAGCTCCCTCCAAGATTTTTGTGTAGCCGATCCCAATTCGTCAGGTACTTTAAGACGTTACTTGTAGTTACAAATCTCCTATTCTCTTTTACTTAATATTTTCTCGTAACAAAATATTGGCTTTATATAACATGCAGTGAAAGTAAATGGTGTGACATGTAAGAACCCGATGCAAGTTCAAGCAGAGGATTTCTTCTTCAGTGGGCTACACCTCAGGGGTAACACATCGAACCAATTGGGATCAAAGGTGACCCCAGTGTTTGCTGCTCAGTTACCAGGACTAAACACTTTGGGCATCTCAATGGTTCGGATTGACTACGCACCATGGGGACTTAATGCTCCTCACACTCACCCAAGAGCCACCGAGATTCTTACTGTTCTTGAAGGGACACTACAAGTTGGATTTGTAACTTCTAATCCCGATAACAGATTTATCACAAAGGTGCTTCAAAAGGGTGATGTTTTCGTGTTCCCAGTGGGGCTTGTTCATTTCCAACGCAATGTGGGTAATGGATATGCTGTGGTTATTGCTGCATTAAGCAGTCAAAACCCAGGTGCCATAACAATTGGGAATGCTGTTTTCGGTGCAAATCCTGCAATTCCAGCGGATATTCTTGCTAAGGCGTTTCAAGTGGATAAGAGTGTGGTGGATCAGCTACAAGCGAAGTTCTAGAGTTTCAAAGATTCTAATTACAGAAGGATATGATTAGAGCTGTTGTTCAGCTCGTGTGATTATTGTATGGGTTCATTCAAAATTATTTGTGTGCGGTTTTCTTTTTGAGTTCTAATTCTTTCTTTGAAAAAAAAAGAGCATTGGTATTAATTCACGTGAACGCTACATGTTTTGTTGATTTAATACGAGCGATGATTGTTATATTTTAAGCTTTATTGACAACAAAATATTAAGTGTACGTAGATGAAGAAGTTTACGGTCTTAAATCAGTCTTAAATCTCTCCTGGATCGATCCGTTGAGGTGCAAGAAATTCCAAAAAGAGTTGTATATCCAGTAAACTTGTCATCTTTTTTTCTCATATTTTCGAAAATGGAGTAGACAAAAATATAGCATGACTTTAATGTTTATTTAATCAAAAGTAATCGCTAGTCTTAACAAGCATGGGGAAATGTTTATCTAAAGTCAAAAGTGCATAATGGAATAAGGACTGTTATATATTGTTCTTAATTTAAGACTAACATCAAAGACTTTCATTTGGTGACTTATTTTGAGCACTAAAACCATAACATGAAGAGATTAGTGATTCTTTCCTTTTTGTTCATGCCTTGAAGATTACTTACATGTCAGTTTTTGCTTTCTTGAAGTTTATATTAGTTATGAACTTCAAGCTTAATAGTTATACGAGTTTTATAAGACTAGCATCTTAAATCAAGTTTTATAAGACTAACATCTTAAATCAAGTTTAGTTTTTGTTGGTGTGTCAAATGTTTAATATTCTCCATCAACTTCTAAGCCTCCCTTGGAGGATTCAAAGTCTATGAAGGTTGTTAAACTCTTATTCTTCTTTGATGCTTCTTTTCTTTTCAAACTTTGCATGAAGATCCATGGTTGGTTATAACTAGTTTACAATTGTTAAAAAAAAATATATTCAAGTCTTCTATTGCTAAAATCTTGTTTTGGAAGCTAATTTTTGAATAAAAACCTAATAAAGTAAACATTTTATTCGTTCTCTTCAAATCCTTCCAAATTGGAAGGAAAGTTAGGAGGGAAAATTATCCTTCCATTTCCATCCACTTCCTTCCTTTAATAAAACTTAGGAACACCAATTTCTTTTAATTTCTTCCCACTTCCAGCTATTTCGTTTCCTTTCCCTCGTTATGTTGAACTCGGGAACATGGTGTTAATTACTCGTTCCGACTTCCATCACATACCTTCTCGTTTTCTCCTATTTCATTCCGTTTTAGGGATTGAAGTTGGAGCATATCTCACATTGACCTTCTCTTATTCGACAATAACACCATGTACCTCTGCTCATCTTCCTCATATTTCACGTCAGTCCTCCGCCTTCTCCTTGTTTCTCATCTGCATCGCCATCACCAATTCACAACATCTACCACTGGTCCACCAAAGCTTCCACTCGCTAGAAACCCTCATGAGTCCATCTCGCTTGAAGCCTTCACGAGTCAAAGAAAAAAAGTATCGTGATTCTAGTCGCTATAAACCTTCACTCCTACATACGGTGTTTCCTCTGACCTCCAGTGATCTACCTCCTACATTCCATTACTCTCTATTTCTAAGGTTTTTATTTATTTTTCTGTTTTTTTTTGCTTTGGTTTGTAGTTTCTTTTCATCACCAGTTGTTAACCTGAATGCTACTACATCGTTGTTACGTTGGATTGCCTGATATTCTTAGTGTTTAATCGGACCTTTTGTCACAGTTTGCTTCTAATCAATTTTCTTCTTTGGTTTACATTTACTGTGGGTTTATTGTTTCTATCTATTTCTTTTGTTACAAGTTGAAAAGGGAAAAGATGCTACCAACACCGTAGACATGTAGATGTTGATTTTGAGACTCTGGTAACATCCTTTTTTCTTTCTCTATAAAGAGATAAAAAAACGAGTTATTAAGCTATGGGTTTATGTTTAAAGGCACCAAATACGAATCTTAGATGTGAAAAAGGCGAAATTGTTGTTCTTAGGGTTGGTCGATTTGTAGGTTGCATAAAATACTTATTGTGAATCTAATATCAAGACATTGCCATGTTGGTTGTAGGTTGCATAAATTCGAGAAAATGATTGCTTTTAAATCTAACTTATGTGTATGGACTTTGATTACTAAAGTAAATGTTTTTGCTACATGTTTATGTTGGGTTTTGGTCCTAAGAACATCCTATGTGCTCATACAAACCCTAAAGCTTGGATCTAGGTTTCTATATTGTACATGCAAGTTATCCAAGACTATAAACCCTAATTCTAGCATTCAAATAATCATATTAGCCATAAGAATAAGTTTATAATGATACCTTGATTGTTATGTAGCAATAACAATCCCAAATCTCCTTGAATTGACTTTGGAAGGCTTAGAGTCACAAGTGTCACTCCTCTAATGGTTCACAAACACCATAAGCAAGAGGATGAAGAGGAGAGAGGTTGGAGGCTGCCCAAAAACGTGTGAAACCCTAGAAAGATCATTAGCCACGTTTTTGGGTCATAAGGGTCTTATATATAGTAAGGCTATTAGGGTTATCTAACAAGGAAACCCTAATTTGGATGCTTAAGCCCTAAGCAACCCATGGAGCCCTTTCCTTAAGCCTTGGACGATTTCATATGGGCTTCCCCCATATAATTCGTCCACCCCTTAATATAAGGCAATCTATGGCCCAAATTATAATTATCTTATAATTACAATTCCAGTCCCTTAAGTTTAATTAATCTCATTTAGTCACAAAACTAATTACCAATTAATTATTGACTAATATTAATTAAACAATACGATTTCTCCTTTAATATATTATTCTCATAATATATTAATAAATCATATTTAATCCTCTCTCTCCATAATTCATCCTATCAAGTTGCTTTGGTGAAGGCAACCCAAAAGGACCATGCACCATCGGGTCAAGTACATACCAAAATAGTTATGGACTTAAACACTAATCCAACAGTCGCCCACTTGGATAAGTCTAATAAGTATTATGCGTATGACTTCAGATCCTGATCTGTAATCGTAGCTTTCCAAAGCCGCTGTCAACTCTGATCATATCAGATACGCGTGTCCTTAGATAAGGGATCATATATTCCTCCATTCTAGATATCGTAAGACATGATTTCTAATCATTCTCTTCGTACTATTTCTCGATCTCTGATTTATGACGACTGACTAATTGAACAAATCAAAATAGCCCTAGCCCGGCCGAGCATTTACGTTTGTCATCACTAAATCATCGAGGGGCCCAAAGATATCACTTTTGTCTTACTTTGGATAAAAGGAACGGATAAACTTTGATACAATGCTTGCTTGCACTCACTCACTGAATCACACACAACAATATGTTTTATAACACCAAGTTACTAGTGCGTTTACATATTATCAATGTGCAACTGATTTGCAAGATACAACTCACACATCTCGGTTTCAAGAATATAAGATGTTATCGTCTCACCAATCACTCGTGATCCAATTCATGGATTGATCTAAGTGAGCGTGGGTTTAATCGAATTCTCAAAATCATATTCATAAGCACTCATGAACGTTGTAGCAAACCTTTGCTATGTCTAATACGATTTAGACAATCTACAATCAATTCATGACAGTCTTCATTCATACCTACTTCCAATGTATGATTAACTGTGGCCCGTTTGAATAATTTGATTATTCTTAATAAACTTAATTATTCTAGAAGTCAAAACATGCAAAGTGAAACACAAGAATAATACTAATCCCATATGGCCTCAACCCTTTGAGTATAAATAAAACTCCTTTTTATTTATCACCATATTGATTACTCATTATTTGTCGTTTCAGGTAATCAACTTCTTACTTGAATTATAACACTTGTCCCATGCTCTTAGCATGCACACAATGTTTACCTACGGTTCTTACTTTTGTGAAATAGATCAAATTGAACACATTTCCAATCATTCTCATTTCACAACTCCAAATCCTTTTTCATAAGTGAAAGAATATCAAATTCTTGCTACTTATAAAATATGCTAGATTCTAACATTCTATACAATGATTCTTTCGTAATGTCACTGCACCAAAGTCACAAAGACTATTGCCAATGATTATTACAAAGTCTTTTATCGGAAATTGTTACAAGACAATTCCTTAGATATGATGTCTCTCACTCAAAGTACATTCTTTGAACATCCTTTTGCATAAAAGTTTCTAATCTAGACATAGATTTTCAATATTCAATTCCCAATATGGACACGCTTCCATATTTTCCATATGACAACTCATTCTTAATAGAATCTTTTCTATTCATAATGATGTCGATATGGTCCATCCAACACCATGCTTCCAACTACTCATAAGCAACCAATCCTCGCCGAACTTTGGATTGTCCTTTGATAGTTGTTTAATTGTTTTAGTCAAAACCAATTCTAGCCCTTTTCCCTCTAAATGCGCTAGACATTTGAAAATTTTTAGAATGGTCAAACATTAAAGCATTTTCAATCTATCCTATACCCGAAGCTTATGGGACACGGTGCATAATGTTTTATTTGCTATGTTCTCAAAATTCGAATTGTGAAGAGGAAAGTCGTAATCATAATCGAAATTTTAAGAACACACTATGTACCTTTGACTAAATTTATCAACATTTCTCAACCTAAGCCTTAAGATTTGCAATGAAGCATAATATTCTTTCCCTTAATTATAGCAAAACAACTTTACAACCCTTACGACTTTGCAAGGTATAACTCTTGTTTTCTATAATTAATATTGCCAACTTGCAATACGTGCCTTAATAATCATACAATCATAACATTTATGCTCCCACTATCATGATGATTATTATAAAACATAACACTTATGCTCCCACTAGCTTCGACATGTATTCATAAATATCTTAACTTTCAGAAAACAATACTTATTGAATTTCTTAAGTTCATGTTTCTAATACTTAGTGCTTTGATAATCTTTTATCAAGGCTTCTTGAACTTATACACCTTTGCCTTTGATAGTTCATATGTGTGTCTAAACAATTAAGACTAATTGCCAAACCTCACAATTCAAATCATGGAAAGGGATACCGTAACCATAATTGAATTCGAGAATGCAACTTTACAATCACTATCTTCTTAAAATCTTTCTTAGTGAAAGCATTTCCTCAC